GAAGTATGCCTAACACAAAGTGAGCACTGAAAATGTTCCCCTTTTTTCTCGGGATTTTGAACTATTTAGAACTTCCATTACACTGTTAAATAGTACCCTCCCTGCCATAAGATAGATGGCTGCTGCAGTTCCAGCTCAGTGATATTCAGAGGCAGGAAAAAGGGAACGATCTTGCTTTGTGTCCTTTCAAAGGATTCCCCTTCTTCCATCTCAGACCCCCAGCAGATGTCCCTCATTGCTCACTGGCCAGAATTATGGCACATGCTTATGCCTAACCTACTTAAGACAACCATGATTATTAGGCCAATCAAGAGTCACCTTTTGGGTTTGGGGAGGGCCCCAGACTCCCTTGGCTACATGGCCACATGGAGGATGAGTACAAAAGGGATTCTGCTAAGAAGGAGGGTGGGGCAGGTGAGGGCAATGGATTTGGGTAGGCAATTAATAGTGTCTGCTTCATAAATCAGCTTAGAATGTAAAAAATTGAACTCAATATCTTTCTTTCTATACCTGAACCTCTTCCTATTTTCCCTATTTCTGTTTATAGTAACATTTTTTTTGAGGAAGATTAGCCCTGAGCTAATATCTGCCACCAATCCTCCTATTTTTGCTGAGGAAGATTGGTCCTGAGCTAACACCCGTGCTCATCTTTCTCTATTTTATACATGAGATGCCTGCCACAGCATGGCTTGATAAGTGGTGCATAGATACACACCCGGGATCTGGGCCTGTGAACCCTGGGCCACTGAAGCAGAACGTGCAAACTTAACTGCTGTGCCACGAGGCTGGTCCTATTTCTGTTAATGACACTAAAGGAAATCTGAGTTTTCTTTGCTTCCTTCCTTCCTCTCATCTTTTAAATCCAAATTGTTTGCTGGAAATATTTTCCCTACACGTGTAAGCTTTTCTCCAGTCCCATCATTACCATCCTCTTTCAGATACACATTGTTTTCTCCTAGAGCAATGGTTCTCCTATGTTCTCCTGCATCAGAATCACAGGGAGGATTTATTAAAACAAAGATTGCTGGACCCCAGTTCAGGGTTTTGATTCAGTAGGTTTGGGGTGAGAACCAAGAATTTGCATCTAACAAGCTCCTAGGTGATGCTGATGCTGTTGGATACCACTGTTAGGAACCACTGTTCTAGAATATTTTAACAGCTACCCAGGTAGCTTCCCTCTTCCAGTCTCTCTTCATTTCAGTCCAGCCTACTGAAAGCTGCCAGTATTAATCTTCCTAAAACACAATTTCAATATATAACAACCCTAATTTAAAACTTTCACTAATTCACTGTTGCCTCAGATATTAAAAAATCATACTGTTTTGCATGGCTTCAGATAGGATTCTATAAACCTAGGAGAAACAAGATGTCTGCCCCAAACAATAGTTCCTTCTGGATTAATGATTGGTATCTTTTCTTTTCTTTCTTTTTTAATGACGGCTTTACTGAGATGTAGTTCACGTACAATAAAACTCACTTTTTTTTAGGAGTGATGGGGCTGGTGAGGCTGTCTATTTTTATTTATTTTTTAAATAATACCTTTATTGAGACACAATTTACATACCATACAATTCACCCATTTAATGTGTACAACTCCACGGTTTTTAGTGTACTCGCAGAGTTGTACAACCAGTTTCAGAACATTCTCATCACCCCAAAAAGAAATCCCATGCCCATTAGCCATCACTTTCCATTCCTCCCTCCTCTCTTCCTCCTCTCCCCCCTAGACTTAGGCAACCAGTAAATACTTTCAGTTTTTGTGGATTTCCCTATTCTCGGCATTTCATATAAATGGAATAACACAATATGTGGCCCTTTGTGACTTCTTTCACTTAGCACGTTTTTAAATTTCATCCATGTTGTAGCACGTGTCAGTACTTTCTTTGAATTGCTGAATAATATTCAATTGTATAGATATACCACAAATTGTTTATCCATTCGTCAGTTGATGGACATTGGCACTATTTCCATTTTTTGACTATTATGAATAATGCTGCTATGAACATCTTTGTACATACTAATTAGTATCTTAATATTTAAAATCTATTCCTAAAACACAACATCTGAACTGCCAAACATAAAATTTCTGTGCGACTTATTTTAAAATTATCATATGCTATCCTCTATTTGTATTTGTCTTTTAATGAAACATTCTATGTCCTCCAATAAATTGGTCATTTCATGAACAAAGTCCCTATCTTATTCCTGTGTAGCCCTAGCATCTAACATAGTTACTTGCACACCCATAAATGGTGATATTAATAGTGGCTTTTCTTCAATGTAAAGCTTGGCCTGGGAAAGATAAGAATTACCTTCTGTGGTTAAAAGCTTGAGATGATCCCTCACACATATGGTCAAATGATTTTCTACAAGGATGCCAAGACTATTCATTGGGGAAAGGACAATCTTTTCAACGAATGATGCTAGGAAAACTAGATATCCATGTGCAAAAGAATGTAGTGGGACCCTTCTCTTACACCATATACAAAAATTAACTCAAAATGGATCAAAGACCTAAACATAACAACTAAAACTATAAAAGTCTTAGAAGAAAACATGGGGGCAAATCTTCATGACATTGGATTTGGCAATGATTTCTTAGATATAATGCTAAGAGCACAGGCAACAACAACGAAAAATTAATTGGACTTCATCAAAATTAAAAACTTTTTGCATCAGAAAACACTATCAGGCTAGTGAAAAAGTAACCAAAAAAATGGGAGAAAATATTTTCAAATCATACAGCTGATAAGGGATTAATAGCCAGGACATACTTTTTTTAAAAAAAAAAAAAACCTCCTACAATTCAACAACAACAAAACAAACAATCTGATTCAAAAATAAGCAAAGGACTTGAATAGATTTTTCTCCATAGAAGATACAGAAATGGTCAATAAGCATATGAAAAGATGCTTAACATCAATAATCATTAGGGAAATGCATATCAAAACCACAGTGAGATACCATCTCACACCCATTAGGATGGTTATTATCAAAAAAAAGCAATAAGTTGACAAGTGTGGGAGAGGATGTGGAGAAATTGGAACCCTTGTGCACTACTGGTGGGAATGTAAAATGGTGCAGCTGCTGTGGATAATGGTATGGTGGTTCCTCAAAAAATTAAACGTGGAATTAACAAGTGATCCAGCAATTTCACTTCTGGTTATATACTCTAAAGAACTGAAGCAGGGACTTTTTTTGTTTTGTTTTGAGGAAGATTAGCCCTGAGCTAATATCTACCGCCAATCCTTTTCTATTTTGCTGAGGAAGACTGACCCTGAGCTAACATCTGTGCCCATCTTCCTCTACTTTATATGTGGGACGCCTGCCACAGCATGGCTTGACAAGCAGTGCATAGGTCCACACCCAGGATTCGAATCTGTGAACCCCCGGCTGCCAAAGTGGAACGTGTGAACCTAACTGCTGCACCACCGGGCCAGCCCCTGAAGCAGGGTCTTGAAGAGATATTTGCACACCCATGTTCATAGCAGCATTATTCACAGTAGCCAAAAGATGAAAACAACCCAAGTGTCCATTGATGGGTGATGAGTGGATAAACAAAATGTGGATACATACAATGGAATAGTATTCAGTCTTAAAAAGAAAGGAAATTCTGATATATGCTACAACATGGATAAACCTTGAAAACATTATAAGTGAAATAAGCCAGCCACAAAAGGACAAATAACATATGATTCCACTTATAGGAGGTACTTAGAATAGTCAAATTCATAGAGACAGAAAGCAGAATAGTGGATACCAGAGGCTGAGAGGAAAAATGGGGAGTTATTATTTAGTTGGTATAGTTTCAGTTTGGGATGGTGAAAAAGTTCCAGAGGTGAATGGTGGTGATGGTTACACAACAAAGTGAATGTGCCCAGTGCCGTTGAACTGTACACTTAAAAATGGTTAAAACGGTAAATTTTGTTATGTATATTTTACACAATTTAAAAAAATAGAAAGCTTGAGATGAGGTGTTGTAAGGAAGCCTAGGGAGAGCCTGTACAGAAAGCCTTGGTACTCAGTTTTATTAAAGACAGAAATCTAAAAATCTAATTGTCTAGTGTGGTGAATAAGGTTTCATTGTTTTTAAAAAATAATTCTATTTAGGGGGCCGGCCCCATGGCTGAGTGGTTAAGTTCGCATGCTCTGCTTTGGCAGCCCAGGTTTTTGCCGGTTCAAATCCTTGGCGCGGACATGGCACTGCTCATCAGGCCATGCTGAGGTGACATTCCACATAACACAACTAGAAGGACCCACAACTAGAAATACACAACTATGTACCAGGGGGCTTTGGGAGAAAAAGGAAAAAATAAAATATTTAAAATAATAATAATAATAATTCCATTTAGCAGTAAGTGTGCTTAGTTTACATACCAGTCTAGACATCCTTAAGCTCTAATTGTTGTAGTATCTAAGTGCTTTCCTGAACTTTTCAGATGGGAAATATGAGGATGTACCTTCCCTAATCAAATAAACAAAATTGTGGAATAATAAATTACCAAATGCTATTTAAACTATTTTTCTTTAAAATTAGCCTCCTTCCTAATGTTAACTTAAGAAAATATTATGCTGATAGGTTAAAGATGTGTAAGAATTCATACTATTGTGAATAAATCAAAATCATAAAAAGGAGGATAAAATAGAATTGCATCAAATTCTGATCACAGTGCTTTTGCTGAGATGTTTGTATGATGAGTATGTCTTCTGCTACTTTGGAGTATGCTTTTCGTGACAGCTCTCTTATCCTGAGAAGCCTGGCCTCTGTAGGGTCTCCTGAAAGTGCCTAAGTGATGGTGCTGGCTCACTTCAGAGAGCACAGGGGAATTTCTTGTGCATATTCTTCCCTAAGCCTCTGGGAAGAGGGACTTAAAGCTAGATTGTTACCCTGGAAAGGAGCCATTCCTTAGGATAGTACAGTTGAATGGTCATCTATAGAGCCGTGAAAGTCGGCATGAATCTCCACTCCCGGCAGCACCAAGAAAGGGAAAAATATTTACCTACTCCTCATAGGGCAATGTCTTCAGTGGTCACTCTCAGGTGGCCCTTCAGAGCTTGATCTTCACTCTAGTGGGGAAAGTTGTTAACCCTGAGCTCCTTGAGTAATCCTGATGAGGAAGCTGCAGAACAGTAGAGACAGAGTCGTAATTTTCCTCAATAATAGCAACACCCAAGAGAGTAAGAAATTATGGTTGTACCTTGGTGTATCAGACAGGGTCTTGGAGGGAAGCAGGTGGTTAATTAGAAGAGTTTGTTGAGGAGACTATTTTTAAAAAGTTAAAGGAAGCTGACAAAGACTAACAACAGCAGGGAGCTCTTGGCACCTCCAGGCTTGAGGGGGTAAAGGGAACAAGATTATCAGAATCCGGAAAGAGCTACAGCAGTAGCCGTAGCTACAGCTGAAGGGGAAAGCTATTGGACAGGATGTGTAGCCTTTGGTAGGGAAATACTGCATTGTTAACCCTTAGCCTCATCTCCTGCCAGTGCCTCCCACCGGCCACACTCAACTAGAATCCAGAAGGTAAGGAAGTCTTGTTGATTAGAAACAACATTGTGGATCATACTTCCAGTATCTAGAGGCACAGAGTAGAGAATGTTGGAGAGTGGATTTGGAGGAGCAAAATGAAGATTATCTGGCTGACTTAATGAGGCTTACATAATTTAGGAAAATCTGTATTCTAAATAAATGATAAATAATTGACATAACTGAGGGGTTGAGTAGGTAGAAGCTAGTTGTGGATTTTAGTTAGTGAAAAGTTCCCATGTTGATGAGTTCATGGCCTTTGAGATGACCAAAGGAAGAGGATTTTGAAGAGGAGCTTCTGAAGGATTGGGATCTTTGCATTGGGGCCCCAGTGATTCTAGGCTCTAAATTAGAGGACTCTGGTTTAGAGGTCAGAAAGGAATTAACCAATCCAGCAAAAACAATTGGGATGGTCATCAGAGGGCAGTCTACCGGAAAGGTGGCTTGTGTCGTGAATGTGAAGTGTGAAGGCCATATAGCCATGTCCCACTTGTAGCTTCATATTCTTTGGACAAAGTGGAATTATGAGGTCCTTTCCTTAAAGAACTCCCACCTAAAGAACCTCTGTACCTGATAGGAACCTAATCAGTAATTTAAGACAAGAAAATATATTCTGTACTGTTAAAACCAGCATTCCACTCATGCTGCAGATACTTTGAAAGCCACAGTGGTGGGGGTTCTGATCTAATCTCTAAATTTGGAATAACATAGTGTGCATTACAATCCATCCTGTAGTGCCCACTGGCCTGGAGCTAAGTTTAGAAGTTCGGCTGTGGATCTAAATGCTGCTTTCCACTCTTGCTGCTCCAGCTTCTCACCCCAGCTGGGGCAGGTAGGGGAGAGGAGTTAACAAGATAGGAAGGGCAGAACTCAGTGAAAGAAAAAAAAAAGGCAGAATGATCTCAGAGTTATAACTGGGTGTTTCAAAAAGAGAGTTAAATGAGAGGCTTAGGTAGAATAGGCAGTGGTGAGAGAAAGAAAGGAAAAAAGTCTCACAAAGCAGGCAAAACACAAGGTCAGGAAAGAGCTGTAGAAAAAAAAAAAATCACTCTGCATTCAGAAGAACAGGAAATTTGAATCTGAACAGCAGTAATAATAACCAGCAAGAGCTACAAAAAGGAAGACTTGCACATTTCTAGCGTTGGCAATTATTATCAGGGGTCAGCAAAGCCCTATTACGCCTTGCTGCATTTTTTTTAATGTGAATCAGCACATCCAAACACATTGTTCTGTTAGGGGCAAGAGAAGAGTTACCAGATTAACTTTCCTCCATCATCTAAAACCAATTTTACAACTTCACATGTATAATGTTCATGTAAATTATATATTCTGAAAGTGTGTGACTTTTCGATCTAATCCTCGTGTTTAAGCAGTACTTGTACGCTCAAACATACTCAGGACTCCTTCATACTCTTCAAAAATATTGAGGATTCCAAAGCGCATTTGTTTATGTGGGTTAAACAACATTGTGTTAAAAATTAAAACTGATAAATTATTGAAACATTTATTAATAAATAACTATAATAAGCTCATTACAGGCTCACATAAATAATATATCTTTAGTGAAAATATATCTTCCAAAACAAAATCTCTTTAATGCCTCACTTAATAGAACACAGCTGGATTTTCGTATATGCTTTTGCATTCAACATGTTGCATATGTTGTTTTTATTGAAGTATATGAAGAAAATCCAGCCTTCAACATAGATGGAAAGGGAAGGAATATTTTAATAACTTTTTCAGATAATTGTGGATATTCTTCTTTAATATTACATTAAATCTAGACAAATGGTAGTTTTGTAAAGCTTAGTTGCAATGTGGAATCTAAAATGTTATCAATGAACTTTTTGTATTCTTTTACATTAAAATCCATTGGTCTATCTTGCACCTTGAGTTGATGTTTTACCCATGTGTGATTTTGCAACATCGTGTACTGTACATTTGGAAAATATTGATTCACAGATTTATGCAGGTCTTCCAAATGTTGACACATTTCATTGTATAATTCCAAGCAATCACATTTGCTGTTATCACCACCAATTTAATCAGAAACGCCTTTAAGTGTATTGGGACGTTGCCAAGTTACAGTGGCAGATATGTTTTCTAAAACTAATTTTCAGTTGCAAGTTTGAATGTTATCATTGGCAACAAATTCTGCCAGTTGTTTTCCTTGAAGTGTCAGGCCCACGTGTTCATTTTTGATAAAATGTCTGCCAAATAGCCAACCCTTAATAAACATAGTTTGTCTCAATCATTAAGTAAAAATGGTGTTCCATGAAAAAAGTGGCTAGTTCAGCTCACAACTCAACCAACTGGACAAGTGCTTTCCCAGGTACTTTGGTAGGCAGCAGAAGGCTATTTATGTATCCTTCCCATGCATCACACAGACTATTAAGAAGACATACTCAAAAGTTGAGGTTTAATAAAATCAGTAATTTCTACTGCTTCATCAAAGACATTTTAAAGCGGAACTGGAATTTTTTAATAGTGAGTGTGTGGCATTAATAAAATTATTACTAGTACAGTAATTTTTTTGCCCACTATAGCTTTTACATCATCAGTGCAAGGGTCAACACAGTAAAAAGGCAAATAATGTCTTAGTTTTATTATGATAATAGTTTGGGCATTGCAGACTGACCTCTGGAAACATCTCAGGGACTCCTAGATGTCTGCAGACTATATTTGAGATGAATTCTCCCCATCCCTGCTAGAATGTAAAGCCTACAATTTCAAAAGTTTGTCTCTTGTTCACTGATATGCCACCAGGGCCTAGAACATTTCTGGCACATAGTAGGCACTCAATAATTAATTAAGTAAGCAATCAATCAGAACTAGATCATAATAATCAAGAGCTTATAATCTGCATTACTAGAAACTCATTTTTAAAAATTTAGGTTTTTTTGAGGAAGATTAGCCCTGAGCTAACATGTCCTGCCATCCTCCTCTTTTTGCTGAGGAAGACTGGCCCTGAGCTAACATCCATGCCCATCTTCCTCTACTTTACATGTTGGATGCCTACCACAGCATGGCTTGCTTAACAGTGCTATGTCTGCACCCGGGATCCAAACCAGTGAACCCCGGGCCACTGAAGCGGAACGTGCAAACTTAACCGCTGCACCACCGGGCCAGCCCCTAAAAATTTAGTTTTGAATAGGTAAAATATACAACAGGATACATGGTGAAAAGTCTCCCACTTTGCCTTCTCCAAGGCACTTAAGTTGCTTTCTCAGAGATAATCACTGTTGTCAGTTTCTTATGTATTTTTCCAGTGATATTTTATGGATTCACAAGCATTATTACACAAGCATACTCCTTTCTTCCCTCACACATATGGTGGTATACTATACACATTATGGACTGTATAGTGCTTTTTTAAAAGTAAACTTTTTCTTTTGGAATAATTGTAGATTTACAGAAAAGTTTCAGAGATTTTTATATACTCTTCACTCACTTCTACTAATGTTAACATCTTACACAACCATAGTACCATGTCAAAACTAAGAAACAAACATTGGTTCAATACTGTTAACTAAATTTCAAAACTTGTTCAGATTTCGCTAGCTTATGTCCTTTCAGTTCTACGGTCCAATCCAGGATACCACATCGCATTTAGCATAGTGCTTTTTTCCCCTTAAAATGTATTTTGAGGATTATCTCATATCAGTTAATATGCAGTTGCCTCATTTTCTGGAAGGACTGCAGAATGACTCCCTAGAAGTAGAATTTCAGGGCCAATAATATGTGCATTTAAAAATTACCAAACTCGTCTCCCCCAAAGAAATTACCATACCCTTCTTAGCAATTTCCCTGTGATTTGAGTGTTGCAAGTTTCTTTGAAGTTCGAAGATTAAGGCTGGGAACTGAATGAAGGTTATAAATGTAAAGTATTCAAAAAAATTTGGCACGCTTCGAAATAATCATTTTTACTGTACTAGCACCAATACACATATGTAGCATTGCATGATTTACATTATACCAATAATTCACTGTATGACCCACATATATAGTTGGTTCCTGTTAGGACCACTAGGGGGCTCTGCTGGAGGGTTTTTATAATTTATGTTAGTCCGGTTAGAGAAATGTTTCGAGATAATGCTTTAGAAATCTGAACTCTTAAAACTTGAAAGAGATCATCTACCTAACCCAGCTTCCTTATCATGCAGATGAGGAAACCAAGGTTGGCCAAGAGAGCTGGCATGGAGGAGAGCTGGAATCAAAAGTCCACGCTCTGTGCCTGTGACAGGAATTCAAGAAATTCTTTTTTGTCGTATGCCTCCACTGAATGAATCACACCAGGGGCTATTTCCTTTTTTGCTGCCACAATTTTAGTAAGCTTTGCTAAGACCGTAGATTTGCGATATTTTTCTAATAGGATATTTTACCGATGGGTTAGTGTGAAAGAAGTGCATGAAATATAAACTTTATGACTCATTCCAAAATATTCTATTCAAAGTACCTCTCAGCACCAAAATCATATTACTTACTGTAGACCTTGGCAACTACTTTCCAATTGCCTTTAAAACTTACTTTCCACTTAAAACATTTTACTTTTGTCTTTATTCATTTATCTTCATTCATTTTATCCATTCAATATTTATTGAGTGCTTATTAGCGCCAGACACCGTTGTAGGCCCTAGGCTTCAGAAGCGAAGCTGCCCTTCTCCCCAAAGAAGCACCTATTTCTTCATTTTTCACTTTAATACATAAACTATTTCCACAGGCCTTTGTTCAGTGGTTCTCATAGTGTGGACCCTGAACCAGCAGCAGGAGCAGCAAGCATCTGGGAACTTGCTAAAAATGCAAATTATTAGGCCCACTTCACACTCCAGGGATGGGGCTCAGCAACCTGTTTTTAAAATAAGCTCTCCAGGGATTCTGATGTACACTCAAGTTTAAGAACTACGGTTTTAGTTCCACGACTCGGTATTAACTAAATAGGTCAAAGATCAACATCTGGCTTTTAAACCCACCTCAGGCATCTCCACGGAATACCCGTCCCAAATACACCTGACAGGACCCAGCAGTGACCATGCTTAATTCAAAGATCTGTAGTACCTGGAATGATCGTAACAATAGTGACACTATAATGGCTTCAGAACAAAACCTGACTGCAGTGGATTTTCTGGGCCTATCCCAACAGAAAATGGGCCGGACTGAGTTCTGGGATAGTGTTTTCATAGGCTAGACACAGCCGAGCACATCAAGCCCGGGGTTCTGGGTCTGGCTGAGTCAGGCGGCGATCCAAGCCGCGTGGGGCCGCGTGAACCCGTCAGGGTGGACTCGAGCCTTCGGTCAGAGGTTGGGGGCTGGAAGCCCGGCCCATACCACACTGGCTGGAAGACGGGCGGAGGCGCAGAGACGCCCCGGGAGGCCGGGCAGCGCTGGTCAGCACGCAGGCCGCACCCTCCTGCCCCCAGACGCCGGCAGGGCGGAGCCACGCGGCGGCAGCTCGGGCAGCGGCGCGCGGCGCGGGCTCGCGGCTGAGGCGTATGGGGCTACAACGGGAGCGGCTGCGCCGCCCGGCCGGGTCAGCGTCGTGCGCATGCGCGGACCCGGCGCCATTTTGGTGGCCGGGCGCGGAGGTGATTCCACACTGAGGGGAGCGCGGCGGCCAGGGTGGCAGTGGCAGCGTTCCTGGGCTCGGGTGTGAATCGCCGAGGGAGGAGGCGGTGGAGGAAGAGGTGGCAGCGGTGGCGGTGGTCGTAGCGGTGGCGGAGGAGGCGGGTACGAATCAGCTGCGGGCGGAGACATGGCCAACATCGCGGTGCAGCGAATCAAGCGGGAGTTCAAGGAGGTGCTGAAGAGCGAGGAGGTCAGAAATGAACTCCCGGACATCCCCCACCTCAGCCCAGGGCGGGAGGGCCCTTCCAGCCGCGATCCCGCTGTCCCCGGTAACCCCCGGGTGGCGCTCCTTGCGGCCGCCCTTCTGCTCGCGGGGAAGCAGCAGTCTCCCCCTCCTTCCGCCGCCTTCCCCTCCCCTCGCCGGGCCCTGGGATGGACGGTCTCGCGGGCGGGTGGTCTGGAGAGGAACCCGGTTGGAGGGGCAGATGGAGAAGGGGGCACTTCTCGACGGGGTGTGAGCTCTAGAGAGAGCCCCGAGGCTGTGGCAACAGCTGGAAGTGTGGCTGTAGGGTGGGGAGGGAGCAGGCCGAGCCTGAGAAAACCCGGGAAGTGGGTTGGGGGAAGGGGAAAGGTGGTAACTGGATCCGGAGAGCCGCGCTGCTCAAAGGCCCACACTTTTAAGGGTATTCTGGGTTATACCCTGTCTGGCCTCCCCTGTCCTTTCCTTAGGGAAGGGGCGATGAGAGTCCGTAGGTATTGATGAAAGGAGAAGGACGTTCAGAGTTACTCCCTCTTAGTTGGATGTTGGGAGAGAAGGGGAGACATAATGGGATACTATCTTATTTGGGTGGTGGTTAAGGGAATTTTCACCTGGCATAGGAAATTAATTCCTAATTAGACCATTATTTCATTTTCACTTTACGCCCATTCCTAGGCCTCTTTTCTCTTGACATCTAGAGCTTTTTGACTGGGTAAAGGCAAGTAGTTTGATGTGTTAAAAACGTTTAAATATTTTTAGCTAGGAAAAAATAATAGAGTTTGTGAGTAGCTTGTTTCAAAATGTTGTTTACAAGTTACAGATCTGAGAGTCTTTCCTAAGACAATGCCTCTGTGACTCTGTTGTGTTGTACCATGAAACTTCATTATGATGTCCCTCCTAGTTAACTTGATTCTTACTTTTGAAAAACAGCCCTATTAAAAACATGGGGTTTCACCAGATTAATACATTGTTATATCTTTTTATTAAGTGAGTAGGTTTATCCCAAAGTACCGTATTTGAAATGGTTAAAAAATATTTTGTCTCAAGCTGCTCTTGAGTCCTGCAGTATTTAAATACTCTAGTGCTGACCACGTCTTATTTATATAAGATATTCAAAATGTTCTAGTAATTTGATTCAAAACTGTGGAAGTATCCGTAAAGTTTTTCATACCGAAATCAACAAGAATGCTAGGTTGTTTTTCCTCCTTGGATTTAACAAAGATTAAAAAGTAGTACTGAAAAGGTTATTTTTTTTAAGATGTCACATACCATTATTGAATGTTATCATTGCTATTTGTATTTTTCTGTTATGTTGGTGCTTTGATAATCTTAGTGATTTGTGAAATTCAGCATTCTAAGTATGTCATGAGTAATTGACGTAAGTCTGATAGCACTTGAGGTTTATTTGTGCCACTGAATCCACAGTGATTATGTATCTTTCTAATTAGAATGATTCTTTAAAAATGTTAAAAAGTGACAAATACTAACAGATTTATTGAATGTAGTAGTATGTAAGTAGTGATCGGTTTTACAGAGCATGTGTATGAACTCTGAGTTGTGTATTTGTTCAAGTGCCAAAACTCTGAATGGAAGGATGACTTTGTATTTTTGTGATACAGTGCAGAAATAGTCATAAATGTCTGTACTGATAAACAGTGAAACAATAATTCTAACTTTTTATTTAATAAGAAAATATATTCCAGGATAGTTGACATATAGATTCTTAATGAGAGATTGCAGCTCATATTGTTACCAAGAGACTAAAACATTTCTTCTATAATATGGTTATACAAGCCCAAAACTTAAAATAAGACTTCTAATGCCTTATTTTCTATTCTTAAAAGTGGTAAGTTACTGTTCTTGTAATTCATATGGTCTCTGCTTTTTGTCAGGTGGCTTTTCACCATGATATTCTTATAACTTAATTTGAAGCTTAAGAGATATCTTGTATTGCTCTAGTAATGCATATTGTTAAAATAATACTGCTTTTAATATGCGAGAGATGATGAAGCCTTGTTTCAAGTGTCAGTGTTTTTTAGAGGAAGAAAGAGGAAATGCAAACAAATTATTTTAAGAACAGTACCTTTATAAATCTGGAAGGAAACTTCTTCCAGAAAGTAAGTTGAAAGAACATTTAGGAATGGATCAGATAATTTAATCTTGGGATATAATCAGTAAATACCTTTATTTTCACCAATATTTTATTTCATCGCTGTTTTAGGAGGCCAGGTTCTATAAGTGGATTATGTTTATTATTTTCACCTCATTGAAGGACTTGTAGTACAGTCCATGTGTTTTCTTTTTAAGTGTGTAAATGCAGTATTTTGAGTGGCTGGTCAGGTAATCAGGTATTTCATCATGTCACCTATGTAAATCTCCAGTTTACCAAAGTTTATTTCATACGCTTGTGTTTACTAAGAATACTGGTTGATTTATGGACTTTTTTTTTTGGCCTTTTAAGTGCCTTTGTAAAGATAGCTGATATTTGCTGAATTCTAGCCTAAGAAGTTAGAAGTAGCCGTTCTGGGAGTGTGGAGTTAATTAAAATATAGCTTCAAGATAAATCAGATGTGAGAAGCAAGGTACAGAATAGTGTGGAGGAGGCCGCCATTTGTGTCAGAAGTGGGGAAATACGTGTATTTGTATAGGTGAAAAATTTAGTGAGAAATTGGTAAAATTGGTTGCTTCTGGTAGGAAGTTAGGGTGTCCAGGGCAACAGGCATCAAAAGATCCCTTTTGAATTTTGAATCATGTGAATATGTTATTTACTCAAAATCATAAGTGAGGCCCCATCTTGGCCGTTTTTTCCTTGAGACTGTCTTGGGAAATCTGTTCTATATCTGTCAGATAATAATTTTTAAATCTGAGTGTGAATTTTAAGTAATGTTTCAAAGTTGCTAGGAAAGGAAAATTGATTTAAAGTAGATTTCCTAGTTCTTTTCTGAGTTGAATTACATAAGTGAATTGATTGGGAGGATATAATAAAACCATAATCTGTATTCATGGGTTCTGTTATTTACTAGTATTAATTATTACTGCTGTTGACTAACAACTGTTTGTAGAGTGGCTCTCAGTACCATTTGTTTATACAGTATTGCTAATTCTCAAGAACAGGTCTTTGAATTAAATTTCTTATTTCTTAGATGGGGAAATTGAGATTCACAGAAGTTAAATTATTTCTCTACAAATATATAGTTTTGGATTTGGATCTAAGTTTGCTTGTGGTTATGTTGTACCACACTGTTATGACTTGCCAAGGATAGGCATGGTTTTAATTGTTTCAAAATATTTGAGCCTGGTTTGTATTGCTGGTTAAAGGATTTAAACACAACTAATTTGTTAGTTTAAACATTAAAATAATTATTACCTGTAATTAACTTAAATATTTACTTGCATTTCAATATGTAAAATATTTTTAAATTTAAAGCTCAATGAATTAAAATACCATTAAATCAGTGTACAGACTCTTGCTTGTTCTTGTTCTATGTGGTACCTGTAGTTTTTTCATATTGTAGCTGCACTTTGCTAACATTTTCTAGGATTCTCATAGGGAGTATTTAAATCCATGGCATTAACAAATTGGTTTTATGAAAACTGCTATTGTGTAAGTTTTCCTTAAGCATTTAGGTGGATTTTTGTATCTATTGTCATTTTAAATTTAATATATTTGATTAAGCTTGATCTAGATTATTCTTTGTAGAACTAGTTGCAAATCTTTAGAAGATAGTCTCTTGATTTCTGTAGACCATGATTTTTCAGCCTTGGCACTATTGACATTTTGGGCAGATAATGAATTCTTTGTTATAAGTGGCTCTCCTGTGCATTGTAGGATGTTTAGCAGTAACCCTGACTTCTATCACTAGATGCCAGTAGCACAGCCCTCCCTCTCCTCACCTCCTTACTCTCCCTGCCAGTTGTATCAACTAAAAATGTCTTCAGACTTAACCAAATGTTGAGAACCACTGCTGTAGATGAAACTCACTAGAAGAACGTTTAAGACTATTAACTATGTAAGATGTATAGTATAATTTATCTCAAAGGTGAATGGACAGTAAAGGTACAAAAATTATATAGCATGGCTACTACTAGCTTTGAAAGTTCTGGTTTTGTTTTTAAGACTTTGTTTCCCCTTTATAAACCACTGTTTATCTTTTTCTTTTAAACCTTATCCTTTTTGGTTTAAAGAAAAAGGTGATGAAATTGCCTGCTAAAAACTGATATAACCAGAATTTGAACAGTTTTTTAACAGTTTTTAAGTGGCTTGTTTTTACAGTTATGTAAGTTATAGTTCTGTGTAACTTATTTAAGTAGTGTGCCTTATGGGGTTCTGGGTGTGGGTTGAGCAAGGAAAGCTTATAGATTGAGGGGGAAAAATATCAAAACCTGTCCAAGTAATAGTGTTAGAGGTGCATTTCTTGTTTTACTATTATAAAGACACTGCTCTCTGTCCATCAGGCATAGATTTAGACACATCTGGGATCCCCTGGCATGTCATGCTTTGTAAAGTACATATATTCTTATTTTCCGGTAAATATGTTAACAACAGTTATTGAACGTATTAACCATAGCGTGAAAAGACTTACCTGTTTGGAGAGAGATAAAAATGTCAGATGCAGAGAGTAAATGCTGTAGGAGTTCTGAGGGTATGTGTATGGAGGGAGGTTCTTGAGCTATGTTCCAAAGGAAAGTTAAGACTGACCTCAAATTTCAGAAGACAATTCCAAAAGAATTAAGGAATACTGTAATTTATAAGTGAATGATCTCTTCCGTAGGCACCCGAATTGGAACCAGGGTTCAGAGATTATTGATAAAATTGGGCAAGAAACACATTTACATATTTAGAACAGAAAGGTTGCACAGCTCTGATATACACATACATAGTTGTGGAGTTAGAGCAGCTTTCTAAGTTTCTTCACTATCTTTGGGAATAAATACCTTTTTTCATATCAAAGTAAAATGTACATACAATAAAGTATGACCAGCACCCATATCAAGAAACAGTATTACCAAAACCATAGACACCACCTAACTCACCCCTTTCCAGTCACTTTCCTTACTTCTAAAGCACAGATTAGCTTTGAGTATATTTGAGTAAAAGAATTGCCATAGAAGTATATAATATATGATTTTTTTAATTTTGAAAGTTTTCAAAAGATTCCTTCAAAATCTTTGTTCAGGGCCAGCCCAGTGTCATAGTGGTTAAGTTTGTCCACTCTGCTTCAGTGGCCTGGGGTTCATCCGTTCAGATCCCAGGCGTGTACCTACACACTGTGTATCAAGCCATGCTGTGGCAGGTGTCTCACATATAATGTAGAGGAAGATGGGCACCGATGTTAGCTGAGGGCCAGTCTTCCTCAGCAAAAAGAGGATTGGTGGCAGAATGTTAGCTCAGGGCTAATCTTCCTCAAAAAACATAAAAATCTTTGTTCACAAAGTGAATTAATAATGTTTTAGAAAATGTGTTAAAATGCATTGAATATTAGAGTTGAAAGAGACCTTAGATCTAGGCCAAACTCCTCATCTTAAAAATCAAGAAACTGAGGCCTGGAGAGATTAGTTGTTGCTCAGTGACACAGATCTGGTTAATGATGAACCCAGGCTTTTTGCATTCCTGGACTCTCCAACCATTGTATATGGTTGCGTTATGGGGCTATCTTTCTCATAAATGATACTATAAAAGCTGAATGCTAATAAAACTTTTAAGTACAATTTGTGACAGTTTCATGTTGATTGTTGTTTTTAAGTGGTATTTTGCTTTTCTTTCTTGGTGTGAGAACTTAAATTTACCAGGAGGCAGAGATATTTAACTCCTTAAGCATAGTACAGTAACTTAGTGATTAAGAATGTGGACTTGGCAATTAGATTTGCTTTGAGTACTGGCTTTTTTCTGTTTAACACCTGCAGCACTGACTCTATCTCAGTTTTCTTATCTGAAAATGTAGAAGATTAAGAGAATCTTTACAGTACTTAGAGCAATGCCTGGGACGTATTAAACATTTAGTAAATGTATAGCTGTTAGGATATCAAAATTAACTACACTTTCATATTCTGCTTATTGTTCTTGAATCCTAAAGGTTTCCTTCAGTGGTTTAGTGATAGCTATGTGTGAATTTGCCTGAAGAAAAGACGTAAGATGAGGGGCTTTAGTGCTTCTGATGATGTTTCTTTGTCATCTGTGTGCAAACAACCCGTGGGACTGGTGGCCAAAGGGAATACAAAAGAAGACATGTGGGCCTTGTTCTCAAGGTGTTGGTTAATCATTTCTTTAGGAGACAAAGATAAGTTGGAGAAAAGTTTGTGTTAAAATGTGACCTTTCTAAGTGAAAAAAGTAAATTATTTGGAAGCCTTTCAGATAATAATAGAGTTATGGGTTATTTTGGATTTCTTGAAATGGCTCTGATCTCCTTGAACTGGACCAAGGAATCCAGATTCTAATCCTATGACATGTAAAGTAATCTTAAATCCCTTTGTAAAATTTATTTTAAAATTGTATCTTGGAAGCTAGAAAGTCGTGGGTCACATCCATCTGACATCCATGGTGTTCATTTATGTAATTCTGAAAAGGTGAGAAATGAACTTCATTTCATTCAAAACTGTGTGCTTTCCCTCTCTTTAGTTCTTTGCTTCTATGGCAAATTTAAAGTATTAATTACCTATAGTTGAATGCCTACTGACATTTTATATATATGGCAGCCTTATGAGATTGATGTTATTCTATTTTATTACAGATTAGAAAGTTGCAACTCTGAAGAAATTAACTTTGTTTCTCATATCAAGTAACTTGTTGATGGAAGAGGAGTTTGAAACTAGGTCTCTTGACTCCAAAACATTTGCAGATCATGGTGGAAAGAATAGTGTACAATTATATCTGCTGCTTGCTTCCTGTTCGTTATTTTTAAAGATTTTTTTGAAAATTATGAAATATTTTACACTTAGTTTAGAAAATAATATAGGAGCACCTTTATATCCATGGTCCAGATTTAACAGATCTTACCCCTCTCATACTGGGTTAAGTCCCCTCCCCCAAGAAATAAAACAAAACATACAGACAAAGCTCACTTTGCAACTTTTCCCTTTTCTCTTCTCCTCCTTTCTTGGAAGTAACCACTATGCTGAAGTTGGTATATATCCTTCTCATTCATATTTTTGGTTTTACCATTGATAAACATAAACATAGTATTTTGAGTGTTAAAACACTTTGCAGTGTTTTAAAACTTTATTTAAAAAACTTCATAGATGATTATAATATTCTACATTTCCTGCAACTTTTCTTCTCAGCATTGTTTTATTGAGATTTATGCATTGTGACAATGCGTATTGCTCTATTTCTTTAATTTAAACTATATAGTATTCCATGTCACAGGTTTTTTTAATTCATCCTACTGATGGTATGTAGTTTCAACTTTTAGCTATTATAAAAAAAGGATGCATTGAACATTATTATGAATGTTTTCTTGGGCACATAAGAGTTTTTCTAGGAAGTGGAATTGTAGTTTCTGAGTGTGTTTGCATCTTCTGCATGACTGGACATTGCTTCATTGTTCTCCTGATGATTGTATCAGTTGACACTTCCAGTAGCAGTGTTTAAGAGTTCTAGTGACTTGA